ACAATGTGGGCATGCATAAAATGGTAACGACCAGAAGGATATTTCCCTCATCTTTGTTCCACACCTGGGATGAACTGGAGCATAACTTCCTCATTCGGCCATAAGTTCATTGTTATCAAAGAAATCGCACAGGTCAAATCTAAACACAGGCTGAGAGGTGGCATTCTGGAAAATGCCTATTATTTTCCTATCTGCAGTTCCAGACAGTTCCCAGTCCCAGACGTCAACACTCTCAGTTGGCCATATATGGAAGTTACTTACCAAGACTCCCAATATTAGTGTCAGTCTGAGTTCAAGGCACAGATAGCTGCACATTTACAGGACACTAGGGGTTTTGCATTACCCTCCATTTGTTGTCTTTCTCCTAGCTGGCTGTGTTCACCTTTAGATGGGAATGGTGGATCCAAACTTCAGTCCCCACTACCTTGACTGCCCTTGACATTGTCAGGATCACAGGATACGGTCAGTTCCCTCCAGGTAGGTTCTGGAGTCTTGCTGGGTAAGCGGAGGACCCATACCAAGTCCCCAGGTTGGAACCTGGATGCTGGTTCAGTCAAGGGTGACACAGGCGGTGAACATGATAGATGACTCTGGATGTCTCTAGTTGTCTGCTGTGGCACTTTTAAGGACTTGAGGAAGGAACGATTAGACAGTTTAATAATCTGTGGCTATCCCTTGACAGAAATAAGTGGAGGAGGTGGTTGCCCAAACATTTCAAATGGTGTCAGCTTGTCCTGGTAGGGGAGCACCTGATCCTAAAAAGAACAGTAGGGAGAAATTCTGCCCACCCCTTTGCCATTTTCTGCCCACAATTAACTGTTTCTTTAATAGTTTTGTTACTTCTTCCTACCTGTCTTAAACTGTGACCATAGGCTCAGTATAATTTCCATGTATTCCTAGAGTTGTAACTACTTGTTGAGACACTTCAGACATGAAGACCAAGCCTTTAATAGACTCCAAAAAGGAGGGAAGGCCGAATTGGAGAAGGATCTCCAATAGTAACTACATTAGCCAGTGGGAAAGGCTTCTTACCTATCCTGAACAAGTGTCTATAAAAACTAGCAAATACCAGTAGCCAAAGCTCATCAGAGCAGCTTTAATAAAGTTCAATTCCCAGTGTTCACCAGGTTAAGTCCCCTTTTGCACATACGTTGGTTTCCTTCTCTCAGACTCACTTGGATGTGCAGAAAGTACCCATCCCTCACTAACTTTTAATTTGGTCCATCCCAGGTGTGTGCTCTGGTGCATCTGTGAGAACGGATGGCCCCATGGCTCTGGCAGGATAGGGTATCCATCTAAAAGAACCCACCAGTCTTCTGTCTTAGTGAACCCTTATTGTTTGGTCCAATTCTCTTCTTGGACAGTACACATAGGACATCCTAGCAGGATGGGATCAGTAAGTGGTGTGAAAATAGAGGGGCAGCCTAATATCTGCAGTGGCCCCACTGGCTGTAGCCATTCCTTTTGCCATGACATCAGCAAATACGTTGTCTCATCCTTCAACGGAGTGTCTTTCTGGTATACTGGATGATGGATAATAGCAAGCTTTTCTGGCAGCCAAATAGCTGCTAGAAAAGCTAAGATTTCCTCTTTGATTTTTAACCTCCTTTCCTTCAGGGTTAGCAGGCCTCATTCCTGGTACAAAGTACCATGGATATGTGCAATAGCAAAGGCATACCAGCTATCAGTATAGATGTTGACAGTGTGGCTATTTCCCCACCTTAGTATAGCATGAGTCAAGAAGATTAGTTCTGCCTTTTGGGCTGATATCCCTTGAGGTAGACATTGGGGCCAAGTTACTTCAATGAGTGTCACTGGAGCCGTACTTACACACCTGGCCCCTGGCTGCTTCCACTGGTGAACAGGGTTGCACCTGCCTTCCTAAAGCTGGTGTTGGAGGTCTAGTCATCCATTTGGCACATGGTCAATAACCTAGACATGGCCATGGACTAGCTATTCTTCAGGGATAGGCAGAAGGAATGCTGTGCTTAAGTATTGCAGAAGGTGAGAATTTGATGCTGGGTGCATCTAAAATGAGAACATGAGACTGGGTAGGCATGTGTTTGACATCTAGTGCTCAGAGGCTCCCCAAAGGAACATTTCAATGGAGTGCTAACAACCAACTCCTTCTTATAGTCCATTGATCAGTTTCCTTTATCAATAATGTGGTGGCAGCAATGGCTTGGATACAAGCTGGCCATCCTGCTGCAAATGGGTCTAGGTGTTTACACAAATAGGCCATAGGCCTTTTTCACGGTCCCAAAGTCAATACACCCATGCCTTTCACAACCCAATTCCATTTATCCACAAACAAGTGGAAAGGTTTAGCAATGTCAGGGGGACATTTCCTCTTGGGCTCTAGTACAATGGTTTTATAATTTCTGCAAAGTTAGGTATCTATAGTCTACAACCAGGAATTCTTGCCTGCCTTTTATCCTGTTGCTTATGAACATTCACAATAGCATAGATCTTGTTGGGGAACAGGGTCCTGCTACCTCCCTCCAAGCAATAATCCCCCCCCCCCAGATAAGTTACCTTATTGGAGCATAATTGGGCCTTTTTTGTCAGACACTCGGAAGCCCAGCAGCTGGAGTGTTTCAAGTAATCCCTCAGTAGTTTGTTGGCATTCTTTCAGGGTGCATGCAACAATGAGGAGCTGTTTAATGGTATTCAAGGAGGTATGCACTAAGAGCCTCATCAAACAGAGTGGGGGAGTTTTTGTTTTTTGTTTTTTTTTGAGACAGGATTTCTTTTTATAACAGCTCTAATTGTCCTGGGACTAGCTCTGTAGACCAGGCTAGCCTCAAACTCACAGAAATCCACCTGCCTCTGCCCCCAAGATCAAAGGTGTGTACCACCACACCCAGTTTTGAAACAGGGTAGCTCTTAAATCCCTGCAGTAATTGAGTCCAGTTCAATAAACCACTGAACCCTGATTTGGGGTCTGTCCATTCAAAAGCAAATATATATTGGTTCACAGGCTCCAGAGGAAGAGAGAAAAGGGTGTCCTTTAGGTCTAAGATAGTATATACAGTTTTTCCTGGAGCCAATAGGTTGAGTAAAGCATAAGGGTTGTGCACTTTAGGATTAAGTTTCTACTCTTTTATTTACTTCTCTTAAGTATTGGTAGTCTATGGAGCCTGGCATAAGAGCAGGGAGTAGTGAACTGCAGGGAACCAAAATTCCTGCATCTCTAAAGTAGTTGATATGCTTTCTAATGCCTGCTTTGGCTTCTTTTGAGACTGGGTATTTAACCTTTACAGATGAGGCTGAGCTTAAGAGTTGAACAGTAGTTGGCAGCCACTATGAGTCCAGTGTGGGAGAATTGGTCTCTATACATACTGCAAAACACTTTAGCACTAATTTTGTTAGGAATGGTTCATCAACTCCCAGTTTTCTGTCATTTTATATACTTCTGAGAAGGGGCAATCTACCAAAACTGCTGAGTATGAACTCCCCAGGTCCCCATCTCATTGAATGTGATGGTGGTGGCACCAATTTTTCTCAAATCTCAGGTGAAATGGACAATCTGACATAACAAGAAAAGAATGAGCTGCAGTACCTTATCCAAGGTTCACTTCTTGGTTGGTGGTCCAGGAGTAGATGACAGTTCCCGTGGTCATTGGATGGTGGTTCTCTCTTAAGTGATGGGGCCCAAGGGCTGGGTCAGCACTGAATGGACTGTATTCATGCTTACCAGGATCCAGAGAGTTTTACCCTCCATTTTCCTGTGGCCGTGGGGTCCTGAGGGCTCATTGGTATGGTGCCCTGGCTCCATCAATCTGATCCAGTTAGACTGAGGATCAATCCTCTTTTTCATGTCTATGAATTTTTGGGCACTTGTTCTTCCAGTGTCTTTTTCTTTTCTTTTTTTTTCTCCACTGGTCCTTCTCTACCCTGTCTCAGAACTGATTTGGTTGCCTGGGTACTCTTGGCCTCCCTGAAGCCCTTTCTCTGACCGTGGCTATCATTATCCTGGCCAGCTTTATGTCTTTCTTCTCATCTGGATCTCCACTGTTAAGTCTTTTGAATTATCTCTCACAGCTTGGGACCTATCCACTCCTTCAACCCCTCTAACTTCTGCAAATATTTGGGGCTGATTGCATAGGGAAAGCAATGCTAATTAATAACCCCTGGTGTTCTGGGACGTTCAAATCCTGGCAAACCTCTTGGAAAAGCTCCAGGAACCCAGAGGGAGAATCCTGATTTCCTCAAATTACCTCAGCTACTTTTGAAGGATTAAATGGCTTTCTAGCCACCACTCTCATTCTGGTCAGCAGGGCCTAGTGATAGGTGTCAAGAGCCCTGCTACTTTGACCATGTTGGAATTCCAGTTTGGTAAGGTTGAGGGCAAAAGCATATCAGCTCTTTTCTCTGTTGAACCCTGTAGACTCTGGAGCCATCACAGCCTTCCTAGCCTCACTCATAATCCAGTCCCTTTCCTCAGTAGTAAAAAAAGGTACCCAAAACCTGCTTACAGCCAATCCAGGTAGGTTTTCCCCTACGCATTACCCCACCTTTACACTTATTGGTAGTCAAAGGGCTTACCTAAGCCGACGCTACTGAGAGACCAACTCATCTTTTTGTTTCTCACGCAGCTTCACGCGCCTGGCATTGGCGGTTCCTTATTATTTCATTGGAACACCACCAATTTTGGGAAAGTGACTCCCTAAGTCACAACACGGTGGAAGAGCCACGGCTTTCTGCTCTTCAGAGGACCGACCGCACGGGGTTGAAAACAGGGTTCTAGTTTCTCCTCAGGACGCTCTCCCGCTGTCCGTGGAGAGCGACAGGGCTTGCGAGGCCTGGCGACTAAGGAAGAGCCGGACGCAAGGAGAGTTTCCAGGTCAGCGAAGACTGGCCGCCAACTACCCCGGAGGGAAGCCCCGGTCTCGGATTACGCGCCCTCGCGGAAATGACGCATGAGGTCCCCAGCGGGATCCTACCCTCTGCTTTCCGGTTCCGGGCCTCGGGCCTGCGCGTGTGCAATTCTTCCTAGCTCCCGGGATCAGCACGAGGCGAAGAATTATGGAGGCCACAGCCAACACAGCGGCGGCGATTCAGGCGGCCCCGCCCGCTCTGGAATATCTGGACCGAGAGCAGGCGAGTGATTTGGAGGACAACGGTTCTCCAGCGGGGTAGTTACGGCCCGCGTGGGGTGTGCAGCGATAGGCCTGGAAATCCTGAGCGGGCCTGAGACTGCGTGGACGTCCCGGAACCCGAAGGAGGTCGCTGAAACGCACACCTGCGAGTTCTCTTCCCTCAGGCTTATGGCATCCTGTTGGAAGTGTGCTTTTCTGCGCTCCATTCTTCAGGATTCCAAGACATTTGCACGTGCGAAAAGTAGCGTGCTCAGGGCCGGGAACGTTAAGCTCAATAACTGCGCTTTTCCTGATTGTTCCCTCGCTCGTGGAGGGCAGGAGAAGCTTCGGTATAGCCTGCTCTCATAAGTAGAAAGGGCACCTTGTAAACAAATCCCGGAAGCAGGTACTTGGGTGTTCTTGATGAAATCTTATGTTTCACTGGGCACAAATTCTAAGAAACCAATATGCTGATTGAAATATGCCCCCCCACAAAAGAAGAAAGAGTAATAACTAAGGAAACAAATGTTTGTGTTCATGTATATGGGAGCAACGATTACATTGAGAAAATTAACTTATTTCTGTGTCTGTGCAGATTAAAAAGGCGGTAGAAGTTCTGTTTGCACACTCCAAGTCAAGGAAAAAAAATAACTTACTTTTGAATGGGAATGAGAATTTATTTTTGATGGTGATATTATGGAAAATTCCAGCGAAAGAACTTCGTGTCCGAGTGTAAGTTCTAAGTTCTAATTTATCTGTTCAGGTTTGTTTTGTTTTGATTTTTTTTTTTTAACGGTCTTATTACAAAGACTTGCCTGGCTGGGGTTAAGGGTGTTCGCCAATATGCTCAGCCTTTAAATTTCTGAAACTTAAGGTACCTGTGTTCTAGTACACAATATATGGCGCATGTGTCCAGAGGACAAAAAGGTATCAGATCAGCTGGAACTGGAGAAAAAGGTTTTGAGCAGCCCAGTGTGGGTACAGTAAACAGAAATCAGATCATCTGGGAAAGCAGCCGATGGTCTTAACTGCTGAGTACCTTGGATCCTGCTTGGGAGCCCTCTCTTAACCCCCATATTTTTTTTAATGAGGTATTTTAGAGCCAGCTGTGGCAAAGACAGGCAGATCTCTGAGTTCAAAGCCATTCTAATCTACAGAGCTAGTTAGAAGACATCTAGGGCTACACAGAAACCATTTCTTTAAATTAATTTGTATGTGTGGGAAGTTAGGTGTGCTCATGTGGAGATCAGAGGATAAATACAATTTCCTCTTACCATGTTGGTCCTGGAATTAAGCTGTGGTTGTCATGCTTGGCATTAAGCATGTGTCTTTACCCACTGATTCATCCAACCTGCCTGTATCTATTTATATTCTTGTTAGTTATCTTGGGTGAGTCTTCTGATATAGAGTTCATAGATTTAGCAGGAAAAAAAAATAAAAGAATAATCATGTTAGTGTATGTTGGTCCTGTGCAGGATTGGAAAACCTTAGAGAAAATAATTTGTGGTCACTCTCAAACTCTTACTTGATGAACCTTACATGTTACGTGATAACTTGCTTGCTCTGCATATCACACCAGTATGTGGGGGTATAGCTTGTTTTTCCCCAAAAATGAGGGCTTGGGGAGGTTTAGAGAGAAAAGACTTGATTTCCAAAATTTTGTTTGTGCCTATGGGAGTCGGAAAAGATCAGATCCCCTGGAATTGAAATTACAGGTAGTTATAAACAGTAATGTGGGTGCTGGGAACCAAACTAGGGCACTCTGAAAGAGCAGCCAGTATTTTTAAATGCTGGGTCATTTGTTTTTTTGAGACAGGGTTTCTCTGTGTTGCTTTGGAGCCAGTTCTAGAACTCTGTAGGCCATGCTGGCTTCGAAATTTACTGAGATCCATCTTCATCCTGCGTGCTGGAATTAGGGGCGTGTGCCACCAAAGCCGACAACCTCCCCCCCCACACACACACACATTATTTTAACATGTGTCTGTAGACTTGTTTTCAGATATGTGAGTACATGAGCATGGAGGCCAGAGGACATCCTTGGTAGTAGCATCATCCATCCCCTTTTTAGGCAGGTCGTGTTTGCTTGGAGCTCTTGGACTAGTTGGCCACCAAGTCCCACAGATCCTCGTGATTTCATTTTCCCATGAGATTACTAGTGCTTATCACCAACCTCTTTGACAAAGGGGATGAACATGGATCCTTGTTTTTACAGTGAATGCTTGAAGTGCCCTCCCTGGGCTGTGGAACCTGGGTCTTAACTGCTCTACAGTGAGCTACTTTCCCAGCCCTCTTTTTTTTTTTTTTTTTTTTTTTTTTTTTTTTCCCCTCCCCTAAGACAGGGCTTCTCTGTAGCTTTGAAGCCTGTCCTGGAACTCTGTAGACCAGGCTGGCCTTGAACTCACAGAGATCTGCCTGCCTCTGCCTCCTGAGTGCTGGGTTTAAAGGCCAGTGCTACCACTATCTGGCCCTCTGCATTCTTTCTTCCCCTGTTTTTTGCTCAGTTTTTCACCTTGATGATTTATGTCACTTGTGGGAAGTCCTTTCTCTCCCTGTCTGTTCCTTACCCGCCTGTCTTAATTGACTTTTTGTTTTTTTCGTGTGTTTTTATGTTCTGGTCTGGCAATTTTGACATTCCTTATTAGAGGCTTTAAAACTGGAATTACAGGCATCAGCACACCTAACTTGCTTTTACTCAGAGTAGTATTTACTTAAGTGGGAAAAAAATCAAAATATGGTTGACTGGGGCTGACAGGGTGGTTGCATTAAAGATACTTGCCACCAGACTTGATGACCTGAGTTCAAATCTCTTGCTTGGTACACATAGTGGAAGGAGAGAACCAGGTCTTAAAAAGTTGTTCTCTGAACCCACATATGCGCCATGGCTAACACCACACACACACACATTCACACACAGATTGCTTTAAATGAGATTAAGTATGTGTTTTGGACAGTACACATTCTCTGGAATAATGGTTTGCTTCTTATCTTTTGTCATGTTTTACAGGTCTTTGCCTCATAGTATCCTATCAGATTCATCAGAAGTCTGTTTGTTTACCAAAGATGACTGTGAGTCACCTGAACAAACAGAATGTTTCTATAAAAAGCATTTGAAAAAGCATGGCGTTAACAACATCTCTCGGGTAGGAATCATGTTACTGCTTTGAAGTCCTTTCACAGATCTTATTGAAATGAAATATGATACACTGCTATATTTTTTGGCTTTTAGATCTATTTTTCTCTTCAGTTAATTTCTTTGTGGTATGTGCCTAAATTCCTAAGCTTATGTATGTGTAACATGTTGGTGCAGGTGTCCTTAGAGGTCAAAAGAGGGTATCAAATCTCCTGGAGCTAGAGTTACAAGTGATTGTGAGCTGCCTGGTGGATGCTGAGAAATAAAACCCAGGTCCTTCAAAAAAGAGCGTCCAGTTCCCTTAACTCCTGAGCTATCTCTCCAGCCTGTTTTTTCCTTTTTAATCTAATCTTTGCTTGTGGTGAAGGTGCTATTCTGACTTGTGGCTGAAAAGCTAATTGCATGTCAGATTTTGTATCTTAATTTTAACTGTTTATAGTGTATTGCCTAAGGAGGCTGGGGGGGGGTGGTAGGCAGACATGGGATTCCCTGCAACTGGAGTTGGAAGTTGTTTCCATAGGTGATAGAAATTAGATTCATGTCCTCTAAGGGCAGTCAGCTCTGAACCACTGAGCCATCTGTAGTCCCATTGGAGATTATTTAGAAACTTGACATTTGTGTTAGTCCTTCTGTACTTACAGAGCACCCTGTGTCTGCCTCTGGCTTTGCTTTGTGATTGTTTGTATATTTTATTCTCTGAATGTTTTTATTTCTTCTGGTACTAGGAATTGAATCCAGAGCCTTAAACATGCTAGGCTAATGTTCTGCTCCAAATTTGCAGTGTAGATCAGGCTAGCCTCTTACTCAGAGATCCTCCTTTATTAGAGGGAATAAATGATCCCAGGTTGGGATTAAAGGTTGTGCCAGATGCTGCCCCTCCCCCCATCTCCATTACATTTGCTTTTAAAAAATGTGTCTGGGTGTTGTGTGTGCCTACACCTGGTATGTACCCATGAAGGCCAGAACAGAGTATTGGATTCCCTGAAGCTAGAGGGAGATATACATGGCTGTCAGCTACTTTATGGGTACTGAGAATTAAACACAGGTCCTCTGTAAGAGCAGCCAGTGCTTTTAACCACTAAGCTATCTCTCCAGCCCGTTTTACTTTGTTTTGAGGTAGCATCTTGCTCAATTGCCTGAGTTAACCTCAAAGTTAGCACTCTCTAACCTGAGGCTTCTAAGAAACAGGTTATGTCATCTCTTTCAGGGCCTGGCCTACATACTGGGTTTTTGTCCTGGGTTCTTGATCATCCTCAGTGTCCCCAGCATTTAGCACAGAGTGTGGCATGTTTTAGATATTCAGGAATTCATTAAACTGTGGCACTAGGATTGACCTGAATAGGAAGTGTCCCATATTTCTTCTTGTTTCCGGTTCTTAAGGTTTTATGGTTTTGTTCTTGTTTCTGTTTTCTAGATTATTCCTTTTAAAACTTTAAAAACAGAATATAAAGCCTATGAAGCCAAGCTCCGCCTCCTGGGTAGTTTTGACATCTTTATTACGGATGAAAGAATTCGAAGGCGTTTGCCCACGCACATAGGAAGGCATTTCTATCAGAGGAAGAAGTAAGTTTTTTTGCAATGATTGGACTTTTGTGGTAGGGGATTTTATGGGTGTGATGTTCTGATATCTATGTGGTTTTCATAGAGTTCCAGTACCTGTGAACCTTCTGGCCAAGAATCTGTCCAAAGAGATTGACCGATGTATCACAGGGACCGTCTTAAACATCTCTAAGCATGGTTCTTGCAGGTAACAAGAAAAACATATGTGTACCTTTTAAAACTTGACATGTCATGGTGATTGAATTCATTTTTTTCTTTAAAGGTTAGTGTTAATGAAACCTTACCCTTCTGTTAAAACCTTAATAAATGCCAGATAGTGGTGGTGCATGCCTTTTGGTGGATCTTTGAGTTCTAGGACAGCCAAGGCCACACAGAGAAATCATGTCTCAAAAAAAAAGACTTCTAGGAAAAATTTTCTTAGAAGTAGCTTTAGTCCCCTATTAACAAGTTGATTGTTATTGTTGTCTGATTTTCCTGGAGAGATGTGAACAAATGTGTATTCAGTATTCGCCTCAGGTAGGACACCAACCATAAACCATAAAGAGATGATTCTTGAATAACTTAGAGCTGTAAAGGTGACATTACTTACATAAACATGTATGATTTAAGCAGCTGTACCGCGGGAGTTCTTTGTCCAGCTGGCTATGGGCAACTCCATGCAAAGTGTCTACTGCTTACGTAGCTTTAGGGAGAAGCTTTTTTATTCTTGTACCTGTTCAAACATGCTGCCATCCCTGTTCTGAGGCATGTTTCTGCTGGGTCCTGAACTAGATGCAGCCTTACATCTAGGCTAAGGGAAAGATCTTTGGAGTCAACAAGAAGGTTTAGGCCACCAAGCATGGCAACTTGTTTTTGATCCCCAGGACTCACGTGGCAGAATGAGAGAATCAGTACCTGCATGTTGTCTTCTGACCTCCATACACTGTTACACTGACACTCCAACATTCACACAAAGCACATACATAAGAAAAATAAAGACTCAGGTATGCATCCATGTTAGATGTGGCTTACAACCACCTGTAATTCTACCTCTAGGGGATTCAATGCTTCAGGGCTAAAATTCACACACAGATACACACTGAAAGCCAGGCATGGTGGCACATTCCTTTAATCTTAGCACTGGGGAGGCAGAAGTCTCTGAGTCACAGGCAAATATGATCTACACAGAGAATTCCAGGCCAGTTAGGGCTTCATAATGAAACCCAGTCTCAAAATAAATTAAAAAAAAAAAAAATCTTTTTAAATGAAGTAAAATGCTTTTATTTATTTATTTTTTTTACCATTTTCGTTCTCTCTCTCTCTTTTTTTTTTTAAACATAGGGTGTCACTGTATAATTCTAGCTAGCCTGGAACTCAGAGATCCTCTGACCTCTACATTCTATGTTAGGGTAAAAGCCTTCACACACACACAGAGAGAGCAAAACGGGGGGGGGGGGGGGGGGGAGGTAGTAACTAAGAGTTGTCATTGGGCCTGGTTTGTTCCTTCCTTGGTTATAGGCTAATGTTGAGAGTCACAAAGGTTGAGATACCAAGTATAATGGCTCACATGATCCTACTACTGGAGGTGCTTGAGCCAAAGGGCCTGTGCTTTGAGGGTCCCCTGTATGGCATAGTGTGTTGAGTTTCTTTCGTTTGTGTTCTCTTTGCCTAGCAACTTCTCTCTTCCCCTCCTTTGCTTCACTGCACAAACAGCTCTGTACACATACACAGAGTACACAGCCAGCCAGGGGCTCACTAGAAAAAAATGAGCTAGAAAAAAAGCTGCTGTCCAGTTGACACTTCACAAAATGCCACCACAGTGAGCCTCTGGTGAGGGGGTAGACTGGCAGGCAGGCCCAGTGCTGCAGGGATGGTCTTGATCTCTAAAAAGCACATTAGTTGTGAGAGGCAGATACTCTTTATTGAGAAGGATCCATCTAGAAGCAGATGAGAACTTGAAGGTAGCAATGACCTTTTCGGATGATTCTGCTCAGGACAGTTTCAGGGTCACCATTTTGCTTGTGGGTGTCAGGGCATTTTTGGGGTCAGTTCTCTACTGAGTTCACTGGATTGAACTCCCATCCTCAGGCTCCATGGCTTGAGCTCAGGTGTCAGGTTTGTGTGGTTAGTTCCTTTACCAGCTGAGCTTTCTAAGCATGGTTCAAGCTGTGTGTTTGTTTTAGCACGGTGATGTTTTACTTCGGGGAATAGAGTTCTGAAATTCAAAAGTTATCTCTATTCATTAAATTCTAGTACTGTGCGTATTGGTCACATTGGAATGGAGACTGAGCACATCGTTGAAAATATCCTGGCTGTTTCAGAAGTACTTTCAGAGAAATTGCCCCAGAAATGGCAAAGTGTGAAGCTCTTGTTCCTGAAAACTGACAAGTCCGTTTCCCTTCCCATCTTTTCCTCATTTGTCACATGTCAGGATGAAAACACCTTATCCTTCCGTAGCATGAGGAGAAAGGTTAGTATAAATTGAAGTATTGGGTGGGCATAATAATCAAAAAGTGTGAGCCAGGCAATGGTTGTTGTTCTTATGCTGAAGCTAATGCCTATAAAACACAAGACTCAGCGCCCATGTGTAGTTTATTGAGAGAAGGGAGAGAAGGGATAGCTGGTGGCCAACCGAAAGCAGGAGAGAGAGAGAGAGAGAGAGAGCAAGAGGGGGCAAGAGAGAGAGGTGCGCTTGCTTTAAAAGGGAGGCTTGCGCATGCGTAACTGAGTCCTCTGGCAGCCAGGTAAAGCTTGAGCTGCCAGGTAAGGCTGATGTAGCGATGATACTGCCATGAGCGTCCCGCCCATCATCGGGGGTGGGGGTCAGCTGGCTGCTAGTTCCTAACAGTAGTGGGGCACTCTTTTAATCCAGCTCTCCAGAGGGAGAGGTAGACACTGAATAACTGAATCACTGAATTCAAGGCTAGCCTGATCTACTGAGTTAATACCAGGACAGACAAGGCTACACAGAATCCCTGTCTCAAAAAACATAATAATCATCGTTAAAATGTAGCCAGGAGAGATCATTGCAAGTTCAGAGTTTTATTCTGAACTTAGCAAGTTCAGTTGGGCTATAAGGCCCTGTTTTAAATACATTTAAGACTGAAGCTAAAGTGGTAAGACTATAGCTCAGTGGTAAGGCATGTTCTTAGTATATGCGTTCAATAGTTGGCGGGGGGGGGGGGGGGGGGGGTAGGGTTTAATTGTTGTTTTGAGAGTGTTAGGATCACCTGGAACTGGAGTTACAGACAGTTGTAAGCTGCCATGTTGGTGCTAGGAATTGAATCTAGGTCTATTTAGAAAAGCACTAAGCCATCTCTTTTTGTTGGTTAATTGGGCCTGGCTTACAGTTCAGAGGTTTAGTACATTGTCTGCATGGTGGGGAGCATTGCCCAAATGCAGACAGATGTGGTGCTAGAGGAGTTGAAAGTTCTATCTACATCCAAATCCACCTGCAGCAGGAAAAGACACTGGGCCTGGTTTGGGCTTTTGAAACCTCAAAGCCCACTCTAATGGTACATTTCCTCCAACAAGGCCTAACCCTTTCAAATAGGGCCACTCCCTAATAAGTAAGTTCAAATACAAGAACCTACCACACAGTTTCATCCTTTTCTAAGTTGTCTGTTGTGGGATACTCAATCACTCTGTGACCCCCAAATTTGCATTTTTATTAACTAAGCGAAGGGGAGGGAAGGCCAACTTAAGTTGACAAAGTAATTATGGAGAGTTCAGGGGTGTCTCTGAAATAATAGAGACACACAGGAAAGTAGTAGGGAAGGACTTAGTAGAGTGTGAGTTCTTTTGGTATAGTGGAAGTGTACTTTAAGAGATCCTGCCAGAGATGTTAGTTGCTAGTCCACCTCTCTGAGCTATCATGTTTTCACCCCAGCCTTTTGATTCCCTGGTCTTATTGATAAGTAAAATAGAGATTTAATAAAAGCTATATTTGGCGGCAGCAACATAGCCAACAGAATTCCTGCTAGGCCAAGGCATAAACCAGCCAAGGCACTGCCAGAGAAGCAGGATAGTAACTGCAGAGCTGCATTTGCGGTTAAAACAGCAGCAGATTAAAGTGTAGCTTCTGTGTCGACAGAAAAACAGTTAATCTCACTTTTTGGAATACTAAGTCATATCGTGGCAAGGGGGATTCCGTTTTTCTTTGGTCTTTTTTTGTTTAGAATTCTTTGTTTTATGTATATGAATGTTTCACTAATTTCTGTATATTCTATACCATATGTGTGTGTCCATCTGTGTCCCAAGAAAGTCAGAAGAGGATGTTAGAATCTCTGAAATTGTTCTCCAATGAGTTATTGTGAGCCACCATGTTGATTCTGGGAATCCAACCAGGTCTTCAAGAACATATGCTCTTTAACCACTGAGCCATCTCTCCACCACTTTTTGTTTTGTTTTATTTAAACAAGGTCACACTATGTAGCCTTCACTAACTTGAAACTTGCTATGTAGACCAAGCTGGCCTTGAACTCACAGATCACCTGTAACCGCCCACCCTGCTAAAATTTCTATAGGCCCTTTGTTTTTATGTTTTTTGTTGTCTTTGTTTTTTCTGTGGAGTTGTTTATTTATACAGTGTTCTGTCTGCTAGTATCCTTGCAGACCAGAAAAGGGCACTAGATCTCATTACTGGGTGGTTGCTGGGAATTGAACTTAACCTCTGAGTAAGACCAGCTAGTTTTCTTAACCACTGAGCTATCTCTCCAGCCTCATGGACTTTGGTGGGGGCTTTGGTTTTTCGAGACAGGGTTTCTCTGTATAATAGTCCTAGCTGAACTAGAAGTCACTTTATGGACAAGGCTGGCCTCCAACTCACTGAGATCTACCTGCTTCTGCCTCCCAAGTGCTAGGATTAAAGGTGTGTGCCACCACTGCCTGCTTGTCACTATGTAGACCAGATTGACCTTGAACTCAGAGATCCATCTTCCTTTGGTGGTGCTGGGATAAAAGGTGTACATCACTATGCTTGGGTCCTCATCTAGTGGTCTTTAATTCTTTAAAACTTATACAATATAAAGGGCAAGCCTTTGATGCTATAGTCGGCTAACACTGAAACAGTAACAAGTTATCTCACACTTGCTTGGGTCACTCTTCTTCATACTTTAGTACTCCCGATCTGGTCCTGATAGCAACTGGGTGAATCAGCTCTGCAGATGATCTTTGCTCATCCTTCTGACACGCATGTTCTGTATTGCCTGGGCTGCAGCTAGAATGTACTATCTAAATTTAGCGTGGGTATTCGCATATCCATTAAAGGAACCTGACACTCTCAGTTGAGGGTCCCTGCTCAGGTGATGTTTGGAACATCCCAGTTATTTATCACTGTAGTTCAGAATCTGTAAAGAAACAGACTGGGCCATAGTAGCGCACTCCTTTAATCCCAGCACTCAGGAGGCAGAGGCAGGTGGATCTCTGAATTCAAGGCCAGCCTGGTCTATATAGTGAGTTCCAGGGCATCCAGGACCGTACAGAGAAACTCTTATCTGGAAAAACAGAGAGAAAGAGAGATGGGGGTGGGGACACAGGAGCGGTTGGTATTTTACCTGTGAGGCAGGAACTTTGGAAGTACTCTGAATCCATGACTACCCTAAAGTACATTGAAGACTGGAGGTTCAAGGCTGGGGAGATGACTGGGTTAGTAAAAGTATCCTCCATGTAACCAAGGTATCTGAGTGTGATCCCAATTCTGGGGAGGTAGAGAAAGATGATGAATCCCTAGGATTCTGGCCTGTCAGCCTAGTATAGTCTAATTGTCAAGCCCCAGATACCATAAGAGATCCTGTATTAAGAAAGTAGGTGGCTCCTGAAGAGTCTCAGTTGACCTGTGTTGTGCACATGCACACTTACACAAAGATGGGTGGATCGGTAATAATTAAAACAAACCAAGCCTTCGTGGACATGAGTTCTGTTTCCTTAGTGTAGGTGCTAAGGTCTGATTTCTTCTTTAGCCTCCACCCCTCAGTCACATACATGCATTCTGACAGTGGGTGCTGAACCCTTGAAGGGCCTTTGGTATGGTAGACATGTACTGTATAGCTAAATTAAGCCCCCAATTCTTTTTCTTGGAAATAAGAGTCTAAATTTCACTGTGTAAATCAAGTTGGCCTTTGAGTTTACTATCTTCCTGCCTCAGCTTCCCAGGTAGCTAAGATTATAAGCATGTACTAACATTCTGATGTTATTGTTTCAGCTTTCAACTATCATCTGGGTGGGTGTGGGTTTGCAGCTAAAAGTCAAGATAGACAGTTGTGATAGAGCATGTCAGCAATTTCATCACATGGTAGGTAGGTAAGAGAGGGAGAGGTTCAAGTTTAAGGCCCACCAGCTTGGGCTACACATTGAAACACCTGTCATCCCAAATAAGTAGAGCTGAGGTTTATGTGCTTGGAGATGGGGTAATCTATTTGCATGGGTTACAGATATTTTAGGGAGCTTTTGAATAATAAGAACTGCACTTCTCAATCTGTCATCTCTTTTCTGTGGCTGTTTTTCCTACTAAACTTTTATCTGGTATTTTGGTAGGAACTAAAGAAAAAAATGAAGCATGAAAAAGAAAAGTTGAAGAAGAAAAGCAAAATGTTAAGGAAAATGTCCAAGAAGGATGCGTCCCTTCTAACTCAAGGTGATGATTTAGCATGTGAAACCAACAGTACTCCAGTGAAGACCCCAAGGTCCCAGAAGAAAAAGACCAGCAAAGAAAAAGCACAACCTAAAGGGACAGACGAGTGTGAAGAAACAATTCCACAACTAGTACCAATAGGAGAAATACCAAATAAAGAAAACATGAAGGTATTTTATTGATATTAGTAGCTGGTATGTATTGGGCAAAAAGTGTCAAGTGATGAAAGCTTTAGAGTTAGCTCCAGAATCAGGAAGGCAGACACTGACTTACTTTATCCTGGATGGAACACCTTGAGTAATGTTAAAAGGCCTGTGTTACTTTATGACAGGGTATCTTCTAGAAGGACGTCTCACATTTTGGGTATTCATTGTAGCGGGTACATCAAGCCCCTCAGTGCACAGGATATGTCTACTGCCAGCACAGTACAACATACTAGTGAAAAGTTTTTGTTTTAGAGCTAGGGTCTTGCTATGTTGGCTCAGGATTCCCTCCAGGGTGTTAGGATCATAGATTTGTGTTACCATACCAGGCAACCTTTTATTTATTTGTATGTATGTATGTATGTATGTATGTATGTATGTATACTACATATATGGGTATATTCTAAAATGGGTATATATGGGTATATTCTAAAATAAAAACTGGCTGGGTGGTGGTGGACCACACCTTTAATCCCAAAGAATGATAAATATGTGCCTGTAACCCCAGGCTGAAGCAGAAGCTGAACCCAGCCTGGATTGCATAATAAGTTCTAGCCAGGTGAGAATCTGTCTAAAAAAGAAAAGAAATGTCTGACAGTAGAAAGGGTTACTCCTCATTTCACTGTGCCGATGTGCCGAGGTTATACTTACAGGATTACCATCAAAATTCTGGCTCCTTAAATTTGATTGTGAAATTTTGTTATTCTAGACTTAATTTCTTCTTTTCTTGTTGTTTTTGTTTGTTTGTTTGTTTTGCTAGATGCAAGAAAATGTCACAGGGAAAAAATCTCCAAAAAAGAGGCCTGATCCAAATAAACTTCGGGGCAAAAAAAGGAAGGCCCTACCAGCTACAGAGACCCCAGGAGCAGAGCCTGAGACCTCAGGGAAGAAACAAAAAAAAGATGTTCGGGAAATCAGAAAGCCCGGAGCCAAGTTCTTTTCTCCCAGGAAAGCTTCCAACACACCCAAAGACAAAAAACCCCAAGTGGGCCATTAGACTATAATCAGGTTCCTCAGCCTGAAGGAACTATCAGAGCTAAACCTAAGAGCTTTTCAAGAATGCTTAGGCAGGGTATGGTTGCACGTACTGTGGGACATAGATAGGCAGGTTTGTATGGATTTGAGGCCAGCCTGGTTGTCTACCTGGTAGTTTAGGCCAGCAAGACTACATAGTGAAATGTCTCAGCAGACAGACAAACTTGGCCAAGATTGGTTGTGTGCACACTTGCATTCCTAACACCCAAGAAGCCATGAGGGAAGTCTGGAGTTCAGCAAGAATCTGTCCTCAAAGGAAGAACTTCAGTCCTGGGCTTGGTATGACACTTTACTAGCATAAGCAAGGTCCTGGGTTCAGAGCCCAGAACTTTGAAAAATACCACACACCTGCACATAGCAAAAGGTACCCTATTGAAGACCTTTTTGTTTGTTTTTGTTTTCCCAAACAGGGTTTCTTTGTTGTAGCTTTGGAAGCTGTTCTAGAACTTGGTAGACCAGGCTGGCCTCAGATATCCAACTGCCTCTGCTTCCAGAGTGCTGGGTTTAAAGGTGTGTGTCACCGCCATGACCCAGCATAATTGCAGCCCTTTTCAGTGAGTCCTATAATGTTTTTGTAAAGTTCCCAAGGGTGGTTCTGAATTAATGTTCCTATTTGTAAAAACTAGTGGTTTGAGGCCAAAAAAAATGTTATTGTTCAGTGTATTTGCTGATAAGAGTGCTTTGTATGTTTGTGGTTTTTAAAATTAAAGTATAATATCTGCTTCTGTGCAAATGGCATTGTACTGTGGTGTCACATCTCACCTGACTAATTTGAAGACATGTAGCAGCAGCCTTCTGTCTAGTCACTTGGACTGTTAAACTAGCTTGTGTAAACAGTAAGTAGCCGGTAAGGGGGGTTAATGGATAAGAATCAACTATAACAGGGCTAGAGAAATGATGGCTCAGGTTAGGAACACTGGCTACTCTCCAAAAGACAAGGGTTCACTTCCCAGCAGCCTCATGATGGCTCACAAGTATAACCCAGGGATCCGAGGCCTTCTGATCTCAGACACCAGCACAGAAGATGAGCACCCAAACCTTAAAAAAAAAAAAAAAAAAAAACTTGAAAAAATGAACTAGCTACTTGGCTAACACATACTATAGAGTACCTCTGTGTAGTGCTGTGCTTAATCTTGGGAGTCTAAGGCAGGGAACCAGCCTTGCTTCATAGGAGATGCTGTCAAAAAAAATATAGATGCACTTAAACAAGGGCACTAAATAAATTCTGTGATTGGAAATTATATATCTTAAGCCTTACTGTTTTCACACATTTAAAGCCTGTGTCACCATCACTTGGCAGAATAAAATGGTTTTAATTTTAAAAAAAATTATTCCTTTGAGCCAGGCACATCTTTAATCCCATCTCTCAGGAGGCAGACAGGTCTCTGAGTTCAGGCTAACATGAACAGGACTTCAGGAACAGCCAGTGCTACATAAAAAAAGCTGTTTCAAAAAGCCAGGTGGGGGATGGGGAAGCCTTCAAACATGGAATTTTCTAAAAGTTAAAACGTAATTCTTGATGTATGCTCTAAAAGGTTTAAAATATTTCTCATTTGACAAAATTTCTAGTTAATAGTAACAAAACTCTGGTTGAATAAATAGCATACACAACACCTTTAGAAATGGTCTTTGGTTACACAACTTTCTGTGATGACACACCTGTAATTCCAACACTGCCTGGCAGAGTTGGGAGCTGCCAGATGACTCCTGTGCTCAGATAGGCCTGGGAAATGGTGAAGTTGTGTGTTAGCTGCAAATCACCTATGCTTATTAATAACATCCTGGGCTGGGAGTCATGATACAGGCATTTAATTCCAGCACTCAGGAAGTGGAGGAAGGAGGATTTCTTGAACTTCATAATAGACTGGTCTACCTAGCAAGTTCCAGAGTTCCAGGACAGCCAGGGCTACAAAGACCCTATCTTAAAAAAAAAAAAAAAAAAAAAAAAATTAAAAAAAAGCCAGGCATTGGTAGCACACGCCTTTGATCCCAACACTTGGGAAGCAGAGGCAGGCCAATCTCTGCGTTGAGTCTAGTCTATTCTACAGAGCTAGGTGCAGGACAAACTCCAAAGCAATACAGAGAAACCTTGTCTCAAAAAAACCAAGAAATTAAAAAAAAAAAAGGCAAGGCTGTAGCCTTCAGTTCCAGTCTAGAGGCAGAGGCAGGTGCTCCTTTGTAAGTTTCAGGCTACACAGTGGAACCCTGCCTGAAAAAAACAAGTCAAAATTGCAACATCTTCACCAAATTCTCAGCAGGTGAAGACAAGCATAAAAGCCATCAGTGTAAAACCTCTTCCAATTTTAGCATCCCTTTACATAGGATAGTCTAGTGAAGGCTCTTATGTGTGCACTGCTTGTTAGAACTTTGTTCTGAACAGTTGAGGAGTTCATATCAGTGGGTGAATGAAGGAAATACTGTATTGTATGGACCCCCCTCCCCTCCCGCTATGTGAGTCCATGCTTCAATTCTGCAATCAAGGGCCTAATGCATAAGAACAAGACACAGCCATGCTGACTTCACTTAAGAACACTTCCTCTTTAAAGTCCTTGCTGCTTTGGAAGAAACAACTTCTGGCCTTTGTTGGCTTATTTAAAAGCTACCGTTGTACCAGGTGAGAAAAGTCATTTCTTTCATAAAACAATCTGTACTCTGCTAGTCTTACCTGAAGGTACTAAACTCACAGCTTTATGCGTATTAAGTTACAATCAGCACTTCTGCGGAGGAGCGGTGTTCTTATCGATATCCCTGGGCTATTTTTCTGAAGATACTAAGATTTTGGATTTCAGGGACTGAAGAGATGGCTCAACGGTTAAGAACACTTGTTCTTTTAGAGGACGCACATTCTGTTCCCAGCACCCACGTGGCTGTTCACAATACAACCTTCCATAATTCCAATTTTAGGGGATCTGATGCCCTACTCTGAACTCTGAGGACACAAAACACGCATGTAGTATGCCAAAATACATGCAAACAACAAAATACTCATACACAGAAAATAAGCAAACCTTTTTTTATAACTGGATTGTTTTCTTTCTTTGGGTTTTTTTGAGACATGTTCTTACTAAGAAGCCCTGGCTATACTGGAACCAGGCTGGTCCTGAACTCAGAAATCTGCTTGCCTCTGCCTCCCAAGTGCTGGGATTAAAGGCACAACCTGTAAGGATTCAGGCATTACGCTGGCCTGCCCCAGTCACATGACAGAATGTACTCAGGCAGTACTCTGGTCAGCCCAGGGTTCCATGAGGACTAGTCTGCAGGTTAAGTGTAAAGGACCACTTTAAAAGTCAGACCTCTGACCACTTATGCTCTGTTTTGCTGTCTCTTTTGCTCGTTCTCTCTCTTCCTCTCTCTCTCCTCTTCTTCCTCACTCCTCATTCAAGCTCTATCTGCCTGGCGTGTTATTCCCTCCGCCTTGGTCACGCTCACCTGGTAAGGAACCTGCTATGCTCTCCCACGTGGGCCCTTACCTTGGGACCCTCACCAGGGACCACTCACCCCCACCCCTTCTCCGGCTTTATAACTGTAACTAAAGAACAACACAACCTACTTAGGTTGTTTCTCTGTGTGTTTTTTTTTTTTTTTTTTTTTTTTTTTTCCTTTTCCTTCCTTCTCTTTTTGGTGTTTAAAGGTTTTTTGTTTTGTTTTGTTTTTTTTATTTTAGTTTTTGAGAAATGTTTCAACATGTTCTGAGTTTGGCCTGGAATTCAAATGTGTCCTGCCTCAGCTTTCAAGTTCTGGGATTACAGGCTCATACTATCACTTCAGTTTAGTCTACGTTCATCTTTGAATTTCACTTCTTGTATGAAATATAACAAAAATACTTTAGGGAGAAACAGAGCCTACTTATTTCATTGCCCTGAGTCTAGTATTCCATTTCTTAGTAGCCCTCCCAGATGTCTTGAAATGGCCTGCTAACACACACCTATAAACAATATCTTTTTTTTTTTTTTCATGAGACAGGATCTCACCATGTAACCCTGGCTGTTATAGAACTCTATATTTATTTCAGGCTGCCCTCACAGAAATTCACCTATCTTTGCCTCAGGAATACAGGGATGAAAGGCATGTGCCAACATACCTGGATATGTGGTATCTTTTATTACCACTGAGAATCACAATGGAGCTGTGGGTGTATCTCAAAAGTAAAGGGCTTTTTACCATGTGTGAAGCCATTAGTTATGTTTCTACTCCACCCCTACACCCCACCCTCCTCACTGTAGGAAGTATTCAAGTCTGGCCTTCTTGGAAGGAACTCTCTTTGAGAAAGGGTCTCTCTATATAGCCTTGGCTATCCTGGTACTCACTATTTAGACAGGCTAGAATTGAACTCACAGAGACCTGCCTGACTCTGCCTCCCAAGCTCTGGGATTAAAGGTGTACTCCACTATGCCTATCCTAAAATATTATTTTTTAAGATTAATTTATGTTTATGTGTGTAACTGTTTTGCCTGCATGTGTGTGAATCATCTGTGAGCCTGGTGCCCTTGGATAGAGGGGAATTTAATCCACCAAGACTGGAGTTACAGAGGGATATGAGCCACAGTGTGGGTGCTGAGAATCAAACTTGGTTGCCTGTGAGAACAACACATGCTCTTAACCATTGAGCAATCTCTTCAGCCCCCTTGAAAGACACTCTTAGTGCCTTGTGTAGATCATCCTTTGAAGTCCATCCTTACTGAATAAGCCTTGGCCCTGAGCTCACTATGAACTTTCTGGGAATTCTGCCTCAGCCTCAAGTACTAGGTTACAAGCATATCCCAACCACACAGCTCTACACAAACTTGAGTTGTTTCTAACCTATACTCTTTCTCCTTCAATCACTGAAGAAAAATAAGCACAATGTACCGACCTGTCCAAATGGATGTGACTAGCAGCCTTCTATGTAGGGAGGAGAAGCCTGTTTGCTGTCAGTCCCTCTTGGAATGTTCTTGGTGGCACACATTTGTCTCCATTATGGGAGTGCTGGTTCTGACTCTGGGACTCATTCTCATTATTTACAACTCCTACCAAGTAGCTTTCTCTGTTGGAATATACATGACAGTTGCAAGACTTGTTCTTGTTGTCCTCAGTCAGGTGCAAGTTGTGTCTAACAGCAATGAGAATTTGATGGAAGGACCAGAGGCAGGAAGGAGGACAGAGAGTTACTTATGCACCTCCCAGACTTTGGTATTGGCCAGCACCAGAATGTGACTCTACACTGAACTTGATATCCTAGATCCCCTGAACTTTTAAATCTGAACCTTATAAAAATACAAATAAAAGTTGTCTCTTAATAGCCTGTTTCCTAGTAAAGCACAAAAGCAAGAATATCCACATGTAAGAGCCTTTCACCTGAGTTTGTTCCTATTCTCTGTGACACACTAGACTCCCTCTGAGGAAGCTGTGATTTTCTTAAGTTCGTGTCAGGGGGCTCAAGTCTTCAGCAGCTGACTACCACTCTCACTCTCTGCCATCGGTGAAGGCCTAGCTACTCTTTCTGCCTCTTCACATTGACTCCTGCAATTCCCACACTCTTTTGTTTGTTTGTTTGGTTTGGTCTTTCAAGACAGAATTTCTCTGTAACATCCCTAGCTGTCTGGGAATTCGCTCTGTTGAGGCTGAACTCAATCTCACAGAGATCTGTCTGCCTCTGCCTTCTGAGTGCTAGGATTAAAGGTGTGCAACATCACCTCCTGACTAATTCCCACAAGCTTAGGAGCTCTGA